GCTGTGTTCATCCAGCTCTACACCTTGTTATCTCAGATTCTCCAGCATCTGCAGCTCCTACTATCTCATATTACAGCAATGATCTGCAAACAGCTTGTTCTCTGCTCATTTCTCTGCATGTTGTTCTTGAATAATCTCAAAGCTGTGGATATTCAGAGTAAATATTTGGAATAGATAAAATGTCTGAATTTTAGATAGCAGTGGATATTTGTTGGAGGAATTAAGTCAGCATTGGCAATAATGAGTGGAAAGCAATAATGAGTCTTGGAAACAATACTGTCTCTCATTTACATCAGTAACATATTTAGAAATGCAATGCAAATTTATCTATGATACCAAACAGGAGGAGGCAGCAGCTGACAAGATAGATCAGAAAGTATGCAAGTGGCAAAGTTAGAGGAGGAGTTTTGAGGAAGGGTCACCAGACCCGAAACGTTAACTCTATTTTCTTCTCCACAGATGCTGCCAGACCTGCTGAGCCTTTCCAACAACTTTGTTTTTGTTCCTGGCAAAATTAGAGATGTAATTTAAAACCAATAAATATAATCAATCAGACACAGGAAAGAAAGAAAGTTAATAAAAGACACACTTGTTGAATGGTGTTGGTGTTGAAGCAATAGAAATTGAAAGATAACTATGATTCCCAAGTAGACTTGATGCTTAGCATGCCAAATTAATGCAGTTCAGCAATCAGTGTCAGATGGATGTTGAACTATGGGGTCAAATATAAGTCAGAGGAAGTCTTGGTCAAACTGAACAGTCAGTTCAGTTCCAGTCACTGAGACCTTCATAACTTACAGGCAGTGGAGAGAAGTGCCAAAGATGTTTCCTAGCTTTTTGTGGTCTGGGAAAAAAAAGACTGGGGAAAAAAAAATTGCACTTTTCAGATAGCTGTACAATCATACCGAGAAATACACGGCTGTAAAGATCCTTTCTTCAGATGAGACACTGATGCCATCAGCCTCCTGTGCAAAGATCCCATTGCATTGTTCAAAGTTGAGCATCACTGAAAAGGATCTACTGGCTACTTATCACATTGATGTTCATGGAAACTCACTGTCAACAAATTGGCTACTCATTTGCTACATGATAAAATGAATACAATTTAAGAATATTTCATTGGTTATAAAGGGATTGAGATTTCCTGAAGTTTTTAAGGGACTTTATAAATTTCTCTCTTTTGACTTTCTTGAACACTTACTTCTTCCATATGCAAGTCTGAGAGTAGGACAAGGGATGCAAGAACAAACCAGTAAAATTCAATTGTAGGACTGATGTGAAGATGCACATTTTTCCCAGATTTGTGATCAGCATATAGAATGGACTCCCTGATTGCAGATGAGGCAATAATGAATGGATTTTCTTTAAGATTAATTACACTGGTCCAAATGATCTTCACATTTCACTATTACCTTGTGATACACAATAACGTTACATATTTACACCAAAGCTAGCAATTAAACGTTTTATGGTTGTGTTGTTGCCCAGGAATCTAGCAGATTTCTAGGGCAGACCATACCTTAATGACCAAGTAAATTTCAGAAGAAGGCTGGGTAATTGAGAAGATGGCCTTTCTGAAATAGCACAAGGACTGTGCTTGTGACTGAGAAATGTCTCGAAATTCTTCCGAGTTCATATCCAAGTAGAAATTTTCTGAAATCTGGAGAAAAGGAACAAAATACTTAGTGGCATGGAACTTAAAATCATGCAGACACAAGTGGACACTAGGTTCTTTAATTGCTTTTAATCCATCAAATGATGCCATGTCTTTGGATATGAACAGAGGCTTTGGAAAATCAGGGTACACCAACACTTATCCCAGCTCTCCCAGGAATGTCTGCCCCAGGCCGACTCTAACTGGACAGTAGCAAATGAAATACAGGGACTCTGTAATGGACACATCAATGGACACAAACATTAACAAGAAGTTACCAGCAGAGAAATAACCATATTTCTCAACTTGAATTCAGCCTACATTCCCTAATCAAAGAAAGCTTAATACTCTCAAACATACTTGGTTATTTGTTCTTTCCACTTATATACTTGTTGCTAACTTATTTTCAGTGTTACCAGGTGATCTCATAAGCATATCCATTTGCTCTGTGATCTACAGTTACCTTCCCAATACCTGAGTAAATCTAGTGAGATCTGAGGATTGAATAGAGAACGCATTGTCATTATACACCAGTTTACTAGATATGTCCAGTGTTGTTGACACATGATTCCCCATCTTTGGTAGGTGGAAGAAAATTTACTCAAGCAGACAGAGGCTCAAACTATAAAAAACAATCAGACAAGTTCACTCAATCCATGCGGCTATCAGTTCCCTAAAAACTGGAATTATATCTTTAAGCTTCTGCCCGTCCACCCCTCTCAAACTTTTCATAATATCATCTTCTTTAGCCCAATATCTGTCTTTGTTTGATTACATAGAAGAAGGTACCATATACATGCAAATTGTTGTTCTAAAGAAATAGTACTCCACATGTACAATAGATTTACTGTAATAAGGAAGTTAATTAATCTCTTTGAAATCTCCAAAATAACAGACTGCTGAACAAACTCTCCACGATAAACAGACCACCAACCACACATTCCATTCTCCCCACAGAAACAGTCACATATATTTCTTTAATACCCATTAAATAATATTACATCTTATCAGACGGAAATGGTATTGCATGCAGAGCCTGTCAGCAGTAAATAACGTTAATTCACTGTATGCTGTTAACAGCAAAAAATAATCCATCAGAGACAAACATTTTTTCAGTTTCCATCTTAAAAGATGTCAAACATGCTGGTGTATAAACCAAAGCAGCAGATGTGTCAGGATTTTTGGCTCAAGCCTAATGCTGGAAAACTACGGGAATAACTTACAACCTTCCAGCAGCTCTAGGCACACCAAGTGTCATTGATAATCACCTTTCTCCTCTCTTTTAAATCATACAAAGCCAAAATCAAAAAGAGTGGCTCGATTTCAATTTCAAACCTGTCAAGAAAAAAAACCAAATGTTATTGCGGTGAGGTATTCTGAGGACTTTGCTTATTGCTTGCTGCAAATTGACAAGACAGAGAATCAGATTATGGAGGCAGAACATATGGGAATTTCCTGAGGAATGCTTTTTAAAATAGTTATAAAAAGGAATGTCAGTGCAGGGAAAGTTGGTCCACTCAACTGTTAGATTTCAGAACCTGGAGTGCCAACAGTAGTGTGGTTGCTAGTTTCCACTTGTTTCATCAGAAGAACAATCCAGATGAATTTGGCTGCAGCATATGACCATGATATTTTAATTGTGAATTGCATTGCCATCTAAATCAAACTTCCATTATTTTTTAAAAGTTGGATTAAAAACAGTTTAATCTGCAGACAGCCCCACCAACAAAACCCCAGTTTGAAATAATAATTTCTGTCTATTGCAGCGATTTGAGAATATTCTTCATGTGTAATACACTGGTCAGCGTAGGAATGTTTCAAACATTTTAATGTATTAAAAATATTTAATTTACTAAGAAAAAACTGATGAGCGTACTCCACTGAAACTAGTAAATGGTGCTGCATCTATTTTTTGAAAGGTGAGTGGAATATATAATCAAATATTAAACAGAAAACATTTAGAGAGAATTCCACCTTATTTTATAATGGTTTCTGTAATATAGAAAACAAGGAAATGTGCTACATTGCCCCTTTTGTGAGCTGGTGTCACAATCTTAATTAGCTCATTTTTGAAGATTTTTGGCACTAAAGTTAAGGACTTTTTATTCTCTCTGTTGGTCTTTCACACCATCATCTTTCAGACTGGTTGCTCAGCTGGACAGGAATCAAAGCCAACAACCTCAGACTCTGCAATATATTACCTGCCAATCTCTTACACTGCCTTGTCTTAAACCAAAGTTTTCTGAACAAAACACCACACTGTGGATTCTCTGCCAGAATTTCATCCCTATTTCACACAAACTGCGCTTTTCAACGTCTTACAAAGCAAATTTAACTTAACAGCATCCATCCTGCTAAAAATTGATCTAAAATCCTTCTCTGAAAAGTTACTTTATTTGTTTCATCTTTATTATCGTTTTAAAAGAAGGAAGCTCAGAGCTATGTTTTGAGCAGGACGACAGAGTGATGGCATCCAATACATGGGCAAGACAGGAACTGCAGGAGAATAGAGGTAAGGGCCAGCAGATTTGGTGTTCTCTCAAATAGAGTGTGACAGTTAAAATTTCCACCAAAACACTTGCACAATCATAAATGTAACACCTTAAAATGAAACAGCTCAATCCGGCACAGCAATGTAATTATTTTCTTTGAGTGATGAAATATATATTGTATGGAAGAGGGTTAATCTTGCAGTTTACAAATAGATCGAAAAATATCTTGTTAAAAAGTGTCTACTCTCCCACTAACATTCTACATAAGTGAGCTTTATGGTTTACAGAGACAACAAGGTGCAGGGCAGAATGAACACAGCAGGCCAAGCAGCATCATTGGAGCAGAGAGGTTGTACCTCACATGTATCACTCTGCTATCCAGAGAGCTGCAGGAAGACCTGGACAGAGTACAATATCCAGATCCCACAACAGGGTTCATTGTTCTGACTCCCAGCTCATGCTAACTTCGGCAGGGAATGGTAACGTCCTGATCATAACGGATAGGTGGACCACTTACCAAAACCAGTAGTGCTACCAAATCAAAGAAAATGTCTCGGTGTTTCTAACATACTTTGAACTGGACAGGAGGGCAGCCCCTCGAGTGAAGGTTGGGTTACAGGGCAGGCCCTTGAGTGAGACTGGGGTTACAGGGCAACACCTCAAGTGAGGCCAGGGTTACAGGGTAGCCCTGTAGGTGAGGGTTGGGTTAGAGAACAGTCTCTTGTGTGAGGGTTGGGTTAACAGGCAGACCTCCCCAGATTTTGGTGAGTTATCTTTGAAAGCTTGAATAAAGGTGACTCACTTGAACTCTAGAAAATTAATTTGCAATCTCTGCTCGAATTGTTCGCATGGTGATGGGGGAATGGCTCGATGGCACACAGCTTCGTCCTGTGAGGAGGCAAAAATAACCAGAAAAAAAAACTTACAAAATAGAAGGGAACTGAAATAAGTCCACAAAGGCCAGTATCCTGTCACCAAGTCACCCTTTACTTACACGTGCATAGTACTTGATGCTGACCCAGTTAGCTCAGAGCCAGCTCCTAGCGTGAACAGAATTCCTGATACTCCTGTTAATATCTGTCAGCCAAGACTCCCTGATTGGACCCGGTTAACAGCCCCAATCAGGGAACTCATACACTATAAGGTCCACCTGGCAGACCTCGTTTCAATCACTGCAGTAACTTAATCAGTACGGGAAGAGGAAGAGGGAGAGGAAATCTAAGCAGGAGTGATAGGCCGGTTGGATGAGTAACTGAAAAGGTAATATTTGGGCTCTGATGGAAACAATTCCGTATTTTGTCTTCCCAGGTGCTAACTGTGCACCTCATAAATAGCATGTTCTCAAAATGAGGTGGTTGCATGGTTTGGGCCCATTGGAGTTTAGAAGATGGAGAGGTGATCTTATTGAAACATACAGGATGCTGAGAGGGCTTGACAGGACGGATGCTCAGAGGGTGTTTCAGCTTAAAGGAGAGAATAGACCTATAAGAACACAATTTAATAATTAGGAGCATCCTGTTTAAGACAGAGATGAGTGTTTTATTAGATGATAAGTAATCTATAGAATATTCTTGGTGAGAGGACAGTGCATTTCATTGAATATGTTTGGGGCTGGAGTGGATAGATTTTTGACCACAAAGGGAGTTGAGGGTAATTGAGCCAGCAGTGGCGCTGGGGAGCAGACAGTTGATGCTACAGCCATGATCTTATTGAACAGACAGCCATGCCCGAGTGGTCAAACAGGCCTAACCCTGTTCCTGACTCTTGTGTTGTGTTCTTGGGAATGAAGCCTCCATGTGCACCTCCTTCCTCACAGCCCCTTTTTCACATGTATCTACATAAATGAACTAGTGATGATCAGCGGATCACTGTTGCGATGGATCCTGTATACGATTTGGTTTCTCTCAGTACACACCCACCCCACTGCATTCAATTCTGGTCTCCCTGCTATAAGAAGGATGTTGTGAAACTTGAAAGGGTACAGAAAAGATTTACAAGGATGTTGCCAAGGTTGGAGGGTTTGAGCTATAGGGAGAGGCTGAAAAGGCTGGGGCTATTTTCCCTGGAGCATCAGAGGCTGAGGGTGGATCCTTACAGAGGTTTATAAAATCATGAGGGGCATGGATAGGGTAAATAGCCAGTCTTTTTCTCAGGGTAGGGGAGTCCCAAACTAGAGGGCATAGGTTTAAGGTGAGAGGGGAAAGATTTAAAAGGGACCAAAGAGGCAACTTTTTCACGCAGAGGGTGCTGGGCATATGGAATGAGCTGCCAGATGAAGTGGTGGAGGCTGGTACAATTACAACATTCAAAAGGCATCTGGGTGGGTATATGAATAGGAAGGGTTTAGAGGGATATGGGCCAAATGCTGGTAAATGGTACTAGGTTAATTTGGGATATCTGGTCAGTGTGGGCGAATTGGATCGAAGGGTCTGTTTCTGTGCTGTACAATTGTATGATTCTAAGTGGACTCACTTCATCAGATGCAGGGAAGAGCATAAACAGATCTAGCAGCCTGCCAGATTTACGCATGGTCTCGTTCTTCCGATCAACCTCCTCCTGATCCATGGGCTGCAGCAGGTTCTGAATAAAGAGTTCTGGAGCCTCAGTCTCTAGCTCATCTGCCTGCACTGCAATAGAATTCTGCAAAGAGAAAGTATGTGCATTTATATAGAAACTTTCACAACCTCAGAGCATTCTATAGTCAAGGAGATGCTCTTTAAGTGTAGTCACTGTTCTTATGTAGGAAATACTCCAGCCAAACTTACGGAAAGCAAGGTTTCCCCTCATAATAATGCAATAATGGCCAGATATCTGTCTTAGGAATGATGGTTGAGGCATCAGTATTGGCCAGGGCACTGGGGCGAACTACCCTGGTCTTCAAAATAATGTCCCGGGATTTTATTTTATACTTCACCTCAGTTTAACGTCACATCTGAAATAGAAAATCTAGGCATCAACACCACAGTGGCTTAGCTCAAACACTTTCCCCCCATTCTTGCTGGTTTAACAATACTGTGCTGACTTCTCACCTGTGTCCTGGGTTCTGTTCAAATCTGTGGCCGTGAACAGAAATCAAAAGTGCAGTCAGGAACCTTAAAAGGAGCTGATACTGCCCATTGGGCGTATAAATAAATGCATCATTTAATCAATAACCTGCTTTTGTTCTCTCTCCTGCTCTGCAGCAGAAACTAATCTCAATAAACATGGCTTTTGGTTGCCTTGAACTTTAGTGTAGGCTACTTTATCCCATCACTCAAACATCTCAAAGTATTCCACATACAATGAATTGCCTTGAAGTGCACTGCTTGCCTTAGAAGTATAATCAGCAGTTATTTTTCATGTGGTCAATCCCACAACACCAAAAAAATGGCTGAGCAATTCATCCAGTTTTAAAGCTGCTGTCTGTGTGAGAGATGCTGCTGGTTATGGTGCTTACTGTTTTCATTCATTCTACATCCCCCTAATCTTCCAAACATGGAGCTATTTACACCTGGAGTAGGCAGGCAATTCCTCAATTTAACACATTATCTCTTTCCATCAAGCCAAACACTTCTTGTACAGTGTTAACCTAAATAATTGTTCAGAGTCCAGTCACAATCACACAGCTAAGAGTTCTACAGCCTCAATCTGATGCTCCTGATACCTGGGTGGCAGCACAGCTCTGTACAGATATTTTCTAATCAACCTGTTCAGAAATGTTATTACACACCAACACTTGCTCATTGGTCTAGGGACATGATTCTCACTTAGAGGATTGTATATTGGCAATTATGCGATACGCGAGAGATCCTGGGGTCAAATCTCCAACAGGTCCTGATTGTTTGTCCAGTTTAACACAGCATGGTGGCTCAGCGGTTAACACTGCTGCCTCACAGTGCCAGGGACTTGGTTCGATTCCACCCTCGGGTGACTGTGTGGAGTTTGCATATTCTCCCTGTGACTGCGTGGATTTCCTTCAGGTGCTCCAGTTTCCTCCCACAGTCCAAAGATAGTTGTCTTTTCCCTAGGATGGTGGATTTCAAGACTAGGAGGCACATTTTTAAGGTGAGAGGACAAAGGTTTAAAAAAGACATAAGAGGCAAATTTTTTTTACACAGAGGGTGGTTCGCATCTGGAATGAACGTCCTGAGGAAGTGGTGGATGTGGGTACAATCACATCGTTTAAAAGCCATTTGGATAGGTACATGAGTAGGAAAGGTTTGGAGGGATATGGGCCAGGAGCAGGCAGGTGGGACTGGTTTTGTTTGGGATTATGTTCGGCATGGACTGGTTGGACTGAAGGGTCTGTTTCTGTGCTGTATGACTCTATGTGCAGATTAGGTAGATTGGTCATGCTAAAAATTGCTCATAGTGTCCAGGGTGTGCAGGCTAAGTGGATTAGTCATGGGAAATGCAGGTTTACAGGGATAGGGTAGGAGGAGCGGGTCTGGGTAGGATGCTATTCAGACAGTCAGTGTGGACTCGATGGGCTGAATGACCTGCTTCCACTCTGTAGGGATTATATCATTCTATGACTTCTGGAGCAGGTGGGACTTGACTTCAGGTCTCCTGGCTCAAAGATGGGGACACCACGACGGCAGCAAAATAACCCTTTGGAGCTCTGTTCATTCACAGACTTGATTGCAAAGCTCAAAGATGCATTCGAAACAAACCAGTGAAATACAAGTCCCAAAAACACAACAGGAGTGAAAAGAAACATTTGTGTGGCAATTGTCAGAAGTGTGACTGATCATGAAGCTTCTTGATCACAGAACAAAGCTACCATCAAAAAGCAAATTATATCAAAGTGTGCAACAATTTCCACCACAAAATCCAGTCATTGCACAGAGAATTCTGCGAAGGTACCACACTATACAACTTGCATAAATGCACATTGCTCCCCCAGCCCGCTGATTTATTAAAGCCTGCCCTCCCCACCCTGCCATCATTGCCATAAATCCTGCTATAATTCGCACGACACCACCCTCCAAATAAAATGTTGTAGCTGTTGTTTACAGCTCTCAGTTGTTCACGCTGGGAGTGTTTTCTGGAGGAGTATTTTACTATGCAATATTTCTTGGTACTTGGTTCTCTTGCTACACAAGGAGGACACTCACATGCCAGCATACGTGGAGATTTGGCTTCTCTGTACTGAAGCTTTCATCACACTCAAACACCTGTTGAGGAAGGTTCAGTCCTTTCCTCCGACTCCCAATGCTGCACTTCTGATACCTGGTGGAGAGAGAGAGAGAGAGAGAGAGAGAGTGTGAGAGAGAGAAATCAAGAACATGGATTATACTGAACTCAGCTGCCTACGTGATCGGTATCCCTACACCACCTCAAACATTCATCGCAACACTGCCCCTTCACTGTCACCCAGCTAACAGCCTGAAACTACCTCCCGAACAGTACTGTAGAAGAAACCCAGTAATTGAAAATGAGGGACTGCAGATGTTCATGGAGACAGCTCACCATCAGCTTCTCAAGAGCAAGAAGGAAAATAGCCAGCCTTGCCAGCAATGCCCACATTCCTTGAATCAATAACAACAAATACTATGCCAAAAACTCAGTTCTCACGTACAATAAATGATAAATGTGCAGTGGATATTCCTGAAACAAGCAGGTTATGTTATTATCACTACAGCTCCTGTCATATCACTATACTACCCTTTCCCTTGTTATTCATAACTTTTTGCATAGTATTTTACTAAAATATTAATCACCATATATGATTAAAATCCATACAAGGTTTTATATCTCCTCATCTCTACTACCTCCAAATCAGAGTTAGTTAAACTCCACCTGACCTCTCATTTATTGGAGACAGTAAGGACTGCAGATGCTGGGCCAGAGTCAATAGATGTGAAGCTGGAAAAGAACAGCAGGTCAGACAGCATCCGAGGAGCAGGGAAGTCAACGTTTCAGGGTGGAACCCTTAGAGGGGACTGGGCAAGGGGAGAGGAACCCAGAAATATATAGAGGGAGGGGGTGGAGCTGGGGGTAGGGTAGGTGGGATGATGATAGGTGATTGCAGGTAGATGGCTGTTGTGATTGGTCAGAGGGAAGGGTGGAGCAGATAGGTGAGTAGAAAGATGGACAAGGTGGGTCTAGGAGGTAAGGAGGAAGATGAGGGCTGGACATGGGATAAGGCTGGGGATGGAGGGATTTTGAAGCTGGTGAAGTCAATATTGAGGCCATTGGACTGTAAACTGCCAAGGCTCCCTTTGCTCCAACCCCAACCTCACTATTGAACCCAGTGATAAGGCAGGGAGCGGTGGTAGTATGGTGAACTGACCTCTACGTCACTGAGGCCAGACACTAACTCTCTGACACCTCCTCCTACTGTCCCCTTGATCATGGCCCCACCTCTGATCACCAAGCCATCTTCTACCAGACCTCATAATTTCGGGAGATCTCCCATCCACAGCCTCCCACCTGACTGTTCCCCAACCCCGCACCGCCCGTTTCTGTGTCCTACACAAAATCCACAAACCCGACTTCCCTGGTCAACCCATTGTCTCTGCCTGCTCCTGCCCCACCGAACTCATCTCCTCCTACCTCGACTCCATTCTTTCCCCTTTGGGCCAGGAACTCCCTACCTACATTCGTGACACAACCCATGCCCTCCACCTTTTCCAAAACTTTCAATTCCCTGGCCCCAACACCTCACCTTCACCATGGACATACAATCCCTGTACACCTGTACGCTCATATGGAGGGGCTAAACGACCTCTACTTCTTCGTCTCCCGTATGGCCAACCAGTCCCCCTCCACCAACACTTAATTCGCTTGGCAGAACTGGTTCTCACCTTCAGCAAGTTTTCCTTTGATTCCTCCCACTTCCTACAAACCAAAGGTGTGGCTATAGGCACCCACATGGGCCCGAGCTATGCCTGCCTCTTTGTAGGATTCATGGAACAGTCCCTCTTCTGCAACTACGCCGGCACCATCCCTCACCTCTTTCTCTGTTGTATTGATGACTGCATCGGGGCTGCCTCATGCTCCCGTGAGGAGCTCCAGCAGTTCATCAACTTTACCAACGCCTTCCACACTGCTCTCAAATTCACCTGGGCCATTTCTAACACCTCCCTCCCCTTCCTGGACCTCTTCGTCTCCATCTCCATAAACTGACTCACCACTGACATCCATTTCAAACCCACTGACTCCCACAGCTACATCAACTGTACCTCCTCTCACCCACCCTCCAGTAAAAATGCTATCCCATGCTCCCAGCTCCTCTGCCTCTGTCGCATCTGCTCCCAGGATGAGCTGTTGCACTCCAGGACATCCCAGCTATCCTCCTAGTTTAGGGACTGTCATTTCCCCTCCTCTATAATTAAGGTTACCCTCAAGCGCATCTCCTCCATTTCCCGCATTTCTGCTCTCAAACCCCTCCTCCCCCCCAACAACAATAAGGATGGAATTCCCTTCGTCCTCACGTATCAGCCCACCAACCTCTGAATCCAACACACCATCCTCTGACATTTCCGCCACCTACAATCAGACCCCAACACCAAAAAGATATTTCCTTCCCCTTCCCTGTCCGCTTTCCACAGGGAACATTCATTCGTCAGCTCTACATTCCCCACCAACTTCTCCACTACAATCAGTACCTTTCCCTGCAACCACAAGATGTGCATTCACCTTGACCCTTGGCTGCACTAGTTGAGATGATGATATTTAACTTACCGTCTCATAACTGTCAGCCAATTCTTGGTGTAAGTCTTGACACATGATCTCACCTGTGGGGTCAGGTTACTCCTGTAAAGGCAAACGTGAAGAGGATTACTTATTGCCGTCAAAAGGTACAACAGGAAGGGAAGGAAAAAAAACAAAGTATGCACTTATTTACATAGCATATCCTGAGGGCAACCAAAATGTTTCAGCATTAAAAGAAGTACTGTGCACAGTTGTTGAAGGCAAAAATGGCAGCCATCTTGTCCACAGCAATTTCTTGCAGATGATAATGAGATTAATGACCAATTACAAAAACAGAAGTTGCTGGAAAAACTCAGCAGGTCTGGCAGCATCTGTGAAGAAAAAAATCAGAGTTAAAGTTTCGGGTCCAGTGACCCTTCCTCAGTTCCGGACCCAAAACGTTAACTCTGATTTTTTTCTTCACAGATGCTGCCAGACCTGCTGAGCTTTTCCAGCAATTTCTGTTTGTGTTCCTGATTTACAGTTCTTTCAGTTTTTAACTGACCAGTTTTGGTTTTTGCCGTTAATAGTTGAAGAAAGAATGCTGCCCAGAAAACAGGGAAAGCTCCCTATTCTAACATAGATTCTCCTACATCTCAGAATCGCAGATTCGTTACAGCACAGGAGGAGGCCATTTGGCCTATCGTGCCTGCACTGCTCCTGTTTGCTAGTGCCAATCTCAATCTCCTGCCTTTTCCCCATATCCCTGAACACCATTTCTATCCAAATAATCAGCCAATGCTCATTATACCCTCTGTACATGAACAGGGAGGTGGGCACTCAGGTTAACATTTTATCTGAAGAACAACACCTTCAACAATATGGCACACACCCAGCACTGTGTCCCACTTAGCTTGTGTATCAAAATCCTAGAGTGGGGCTTAAGCCCAAGTCTTTCTGCTTCTGAGGTAAGAGTGTCTCATTCCATACATGCTCCACTCTCTGAGTGAAAAAGTTACCCCCTCGGGTCTTTTTTAAATCTTTCCCCTCTCACCTTTAAACTATGCCCTCTAGTTTTGGGCTCCCCACCCGAGGAGAAAGACCTTGGCTATTCACCCTACTCATGCCCCTCATAATTTTATAAACCTCTACAAGGTCACCGCTCAGCCTCCAACACTCCAGGGAAAAAAGCCCCAGCCTATTCAGTCTCTCCCTATAGCTCAAACCCTTCAGTCCTGGTAACATCCTGGTAAATCTTTTCCACATCTTCTCAAGTTTAGCAACAGTTTTCCCATAGAAGGGTGACCAGAATTGCATGCAGTGTCCTAAAAGGGGCCTCACCAATGTCCTGTACAGCCGCAATATGACATCCCAGCTCCTATACTCGATGTTATGACCAGTGAAGGCAAGCATATCAAACACCTTTTTCACCGCCCTGTTTATCTGCAACTCTACTTTCAATTAACTATGCACCTGCACCCCAGTACTCTTTGTTTAACAACACTTCCCAGGGCCCTACCATTAACTCTATACATCCTGCTCTGCTGTGCCTTACCAAAATACAACGCCTCACTTTCACCTAAATTAAACTCCATCAGCCACTCCTCGGGACGTACCCATCAGAACGAGGTCCCGTTGTACTCTGAGATAATCCTCACTGTTCACTACACTACCTATTTTGATGTCATGTGCAAATGTACTAACCATATCTCCAATATTCACATTCAAATCATTTAAGTAAATGACAAAAAGCAGTGGACCCATCACTGATCCTTGTGGCATACTGCTAGTCACAAACCTACAGTCTGAAAAGCAACCCTCAATCACCACCCTCTGTCTCCTATTTTCAAGCCAATTTTATATCCAATTGGCTAGTTCCCCCTGGATTCCACGTGGTCTAACCTTACTAACCAGTCCACCATGCGGAACCTTGTTGAATGCCTTGCTGAAGTCCATATAGACAACGTCTCTGACTCCATCAATTTTCTTTGTTACCTCTTCACAAACTCAGTCAAGTTAGTGAGATACAATTTCCCATGCTCAAAGCCACGATGACTATCCCTAATCAGTCCTTGCCTTTCCAAACACATACAAATACTGTCCCTCAGAATCCTCTCCAACAACTTACCCACCACCAACATAAGGTTCACCAATCTGTAGTGCCCAGGCTTTTCCTAACAGCCTTTCTTAAATAATGGCACAACATTAGCCAACCCCCAGTCTTTCAGCACCTCACTCATGGCTATTGATGACACAAATATCTCAGCAAGGGACCCAGCAATCTCTCCCTAGCTTCCCACAAAGTTCTGGGATACTTTGATCAGGTCGTAGGGACTTATCTAACTTTGTGCATTTTTACACCTACAGCACCTCCTCTTCTCTAATATGGACTCTTTTCAAGACGTCACCATTTATTTCCCCAACTTCTCTAGCTTCCATGTTCTTCTCCACAGTAAACACTGATGCAAAATATTTGTTTAATATCTCACCCATCTCCTGTGTTTCCACACATAAAGATCAACGTGTCTGTCTAAGTGGCTGTATTCTCTCCCTAGTTACTGTTTTGCCCTTAAACGTACTTACAGAATCTCTTTGGATTCTCTTTAACTCTATTTGCCAAAGCTATCTCATGTCCCATTTTGCCTTCCTGATTTCCGTCTTAAGTATACTCCTACTGCCCTTATACTCCTTGAGGCATTCATTCAATCCCAGCTTTCTAAACCTGCTATATGCCTCCTTCTTTTTCTTGACCAGAGCCTCAATATTCTCTAGTCATCCAGCATTCCCTATACTTACCAGTCTTGGCTCTTTATCCTAACATGAACATTCTGCCTCTGGTCTCTCATTATCTCACTTTTGAAGGCCTCCCACTTCCCAACTGTCGCTTTATCTGCAAATAACCTCCCCCAATAAACTTCTCAAAGTTCCAGTTTAATACCATCAAAATTGGCCTTACTCCAATTTAAAACTTTAACTATTAGGTCCAGTTTATCATTTTCCATAACTATTTTAAAACTAATAGAATTATGATCACCAGCCCCAAAGTGCTCCCCCACTGATACCTCAGTCATTTGCCCTGCCTTATTTCCCAACCAAAGATTGGGTTTCGCTCCTTCTCTGGAAGGTACGTCCACATATCAGATCAGAAAGTTTTCTTGCACACACTTAACAAATTCCTCCATATCCAAGCCTCTAACACTATGGCTGTCCCAGCCTATGTTTAAAAAGTTAAAATCCCTTACCATTACTACCCTATTATTCTTACATATATCTGAGATCTCCTTATTTATTTGTTTCTTAATTTCCCGCTAACTATTGGGAGTTGTATAGTACAATCCCAATAAGGTGATAATCCCTTTATTATTTCTCAGTTCCATCCATATAACTTCACTGGACCATCTCCCAGGAATATCCTCCCTAAGTACAGCTGTAATGTTATCCCTCATCAAAATCGCCACTCCCCCTCCTCTCTTGCCTCCCTTTCTATTCTTCCTATAGCATTTATACCCTGGAACATTAAATTGCTAGTCCTGTCCATCCATGAGCCACGTTTCTGTAATAACCATGATATCCCAGTCCCATGTTCCCAACCATGCCCTGAGTTCATCTGCCTCACCTGTCAGGCCTCTTGCATTAAATTAAATGCAGTTTAATTTATCAACCTTACCTCATTATCTGCCTTGCTCTTGCCTGCCTTGACTATTAGACTTGCTGACCTTATCTATAGTACCAGCCTTTGCCTTTTTTCTTTCCTCACTATTGTTTTGATTCCTCCGCCTACCTTTTACTAGTTTAAAGTCTCTCGCAAGGATATTGGTCGCCTTCCAATTCAGATGGAACCAGTCCTCTCATACGGGTCATTTCTACCCCAGAAGAGATCCCAATGGTCCAAAACTGTGAATGTTTGCCCCCTGCACCAACTCTTCAGCCACATATTCATCTGCTCTATCCTCCTTTTCCTTTTCTCACCAGCATGTGACACCAGTAGTAATCCCTCAAGGACCTACTTTTTAACCTTCGGCCTAGGTTCCCATATTCTCTCTGCAGAACCTCATCCTTTTCCCTACCTATGTCATTGGTATCAACTTGCACATCAACCCCCTGCTTGTCACTCTCCCCTTTCAGAATATTCTGCACCCTCTCCAAGACATCCTTGATCCTAGCACTAGGGAGGCAACACATCATCCTGATTTCTCACTGATGGCAGCAGAAACGTGTGCCTGTGACCCAGACTAGAGAGGCCCCTATTATAATTGATTGCTTGGAACCTGACATACCCCTCATTAAGGTAGAGCCAGTCATGGTACCAGAAACCTGGCTGTTAGTGCTAAACTTCCCTGAGAGGCCATCTCCCCGTACAATATCCAAAACGGCATACCTGTTTGAAATAGGAATAGCCACAGGAGACTCCTGCACTGCCCTGGCTACCACTCCTACCATTCCTTGTGGTCAACCTTCTACCGGACTGTATCTGCTGTTTTTTTACCTTCCTGAAACTGCCATCCATTACATTCCCTCGTTCTTGTAAACTCCTCATTGCGTCTAGCAAGGCTATTTAATGGGCAATTAATTAGCGCATTTGCTAAAACATTTTAAAGTTGATGAAAATATTTTGTTATAAATTAAAATTAAAGGAACAATTCAGAGAATTGGTGAAAACAATCACCACAGGCCAGGGAATAGAAGTGGTATTGTGCTCATTGCTAACCTTTATTTTCATTCAACACACAGAAGTTCAGCACTTGGCACATTGCTTTGGAAACTGGGCCAATGGCTAAATGGAAACCAAAAAGCCACAGTTCTCACTTTCTCCATTTGTCACAAACACTGACAGTTTGTGTCACTGAAGATCTAAACTAAAAAGACAAGAGAGTCCAGAACTGGCTACCATTAAAACGTTTCAGGGCACACTGCAGCCAGGGCCAAGAGCAGTCCAACCGAACTGGGCTCAGCAAAGGGAGAAGGTGGTTTGCAAACCCACAGCAATTGATGGGTATAGGTGTCACTAGCTAGGCCTAATTGGCCTGGAGGAGGTGGTGGTGAGCTGCTTTCCCTGAAATGCTGCAGTCCTTGGAGTGTGGGTACACACAGCTGTTACGGAGGGCCTTCCAGGATTTTAACTGAGCAACAATGAAGGACTGTTAATATGGTTTCGGTTTAGGATGATGTGGGGAATTTGAAGGCAGTGATGTTCCCATGCATCTGCTGCCCTTGTCCTTCTAGAATGTCAAGATGTGAATCTGGAAGGTGCTGTTGGAAGAGGCTTTGTGAGTGACTGAAGTGCATATTGTAGATAGCACATACTTGCTACAATGTGTCAGTGGCGGAAGGAGTGAATGTTAACGGTAGTGAATGGGATGAATATCAAGCAGGCTGCTTTGTTCTGGATGGTGTCGAGTGTTATTGTAGCTGCACTCATCCAGACAAGTAAAAAATATTCTGTCACTTTCCTGACCTGTGCCTTGTAGTTAGCAGACAGACACTGGGGAGACAGGAAGTGTGGTATTTGCCAAAGAATTCTTATCCTCTGACCCACTTTTTTTTTACCTACAGTAATTTTTATCATTGGTCCAGTTCAGTGTCTAGTCAATGGGAACTCCCAGGAGTTTGATAGTTGGGGATTTAATGATGGTAATGGCATTGAACATAAAGGTGTGATGGTTAGATTCTCTCTCTTGATGGGAATGGTTACTGCCTGTACTCATGTGATGCAAAGCGTACAAAGGAGAGGTGCAGCACACAAGTGAGTGACAGCCACATACAACAACATCTCAAAGAAAAATACAGCTGAAGATTACATAGAAATATTATCCACGTGTTACAAGAGCAAAACACTGATACATACAACAGTGCATTACAACAGGAAGCCACATGTGTATATACCAGCCTGCAACCAGCACAGGATAAAAACACTTTTGTACTCATCCTAACCCATCCTAAATTTGTTTTTATCAAATGATTAAAAATCATAAAAACTGAAGTATCTATATAACTCCACGTTGTATTTTATTCTGAACCATTCTTCTTACCAATCGTCGGGCACAGCAGGGTTAACAGTCCGGTACAGTCGAGGTGATAACGTGACCTCAATATCATCTTTGGGGAAATCCACTAGATTCTCTAGTGATCCCAGCTCGGAACTTGCCATTTGATTGGCTATATGCACCTCAAAATCTAAGGGCTCCACAGAGTCAAAACTGAAAGGCTAAAAAACAAACAGAGTTAGATGACAGCAATCGGAAAGAAAGAATTTCATTGAAACAGCACCACAAGGTCTTCAAAAGTGCTTTGCAGCCAATGGAATGTGGCTATTATTGTAATATGGGGAAAACACGGCTACTGAATTGCTGCTGTTTATGGGTGAACTCTGTAAATCTTTATCGGCTGTGAAACATTCTATTTATTAGCCGTTGGTGATACTCACAATGTCACAGGATGGTGTTGTGGACGGGCTGAGTTCTCGCACATCTGTCAATGAAGTCCTGTTGAAGCGCGGTACAAACAGCTTCAACTCGCCAGTGGCAGCTTTGCTGTAAAACAGACAGACAAAACAGCAGTTAGACAGCTTCTTCCAGGCCTTTGTGAAGCCCCAAAGCCTTTCATTCTCTTATAAGCACTGGTACGGCTCGATTCCACAACAGCACGAGATGATTAATGAAGAAGCTAGTGTCTGTTGAGGGACAAATGTTGGCCAAGACTCAAGGAGCAATCTCTTGCTGCTCCACCAATAGAATCACAGTATTTTTTATGTCTATCCAAAGGGACAGATAGATCTCAATTTGTGCAGTGGACACAGCAAAAATCTCTCACATGTTTCAATGGATTATACACTCAGGTCCTGAATAGGCCTCAAATCCATCACCTTCTGACCAACTGAGCCAAAGGTGAGACAGATTAGAGCTCCTTACCCTACCCTGCCCTCTAGGTTTCTCTTTTCCCTCCCCAAAAGGTTCCAGCTTTTATAGGTTACTTTTCTGTGTGTACCTCCAGCAACAGATATTCATTAATGAGCCCAGCTGGTGAATATCAGCAACACCAATTTGCATTTATATCACATTGGAAAATTATGCAGAGTGCTTTACAGAAGCTTAAACAAAAGAAAATGAATGCAGAATCAAAAAAAAAAGAGCTTTTAAGCGTGGTAAATAAGTTTTTAAAAAGGATCTTAAAGGAGGGAAGGGAGGGAGAAAACAGTGATGGCTGGGGGATGATTTTCACAGTCTAAAGCTAATGGTGGAAGCAGTCAGTAGGCCATACAGGAGATTAGAATCAGAAGGATATGAAACTGGAGGGAATGAGATGTGGAGTTGTACAGTTGGAGGAGATTATAGCAAATGGTGAGACGATGAAGGGATTCAACCATAAAATTACAGAATGATACAGCACAGAAAGAAAGCTATTGTGGTGCAGCAATAGTTTACCTACCTCTGAGCCTGGAGACCTGGGTTCAGGTCCTACTTGCTCCAGTCATAACCCATCTGAACAAGTGTTTTAAAATATCTATAGCACAGATACAGGCCACTTGGTAGTCGTACTGGTGCTGGCTCTTTGAAAGAACTGCCCAGCTGGTTCCATTCTCTGGTCCATATCCATGATCATGCATTTCAGTTTCACTTTGTGTATTTATCCAGTTCCTTCTTGAATGTAACCACTGAATTGACTCTAACTGGTTGTGCAATCAAATATTTCACATCACCTATGATTCTTTTGCCACTGTGTGCCCTCTGATTATCAGCTGCTCTGGCACTTATTCGAGACAAAAACCTACATGATTTCAAATAGATTTAGCAAATTTTCTTTTAACCTCCTCTGTTCCATACAGACAGCAATCCTAACTTCTCTAACGTCAGCATAACTGAAAGTTCCTCATCACTGGGATCATTCTAGTAAATCTCTTCTGCACTCTTTTATAAAGTCTTGCTAGCTTTCCTAAAGTAAGGTGCCTACAAATGAACACTATATACCAGGATACAAATTTTTAACTTGACATGCCAGGAGGGCTACAGTGAATAAAGATAAGCGAATGCAGGGATGATGGGTTAATGTGTCACAGTGAGTCATAGAGTAATACAGCACTGAAACAGGCCCTTCAGCCCAAACTGGTCCGTGCTGACCATGGTGCCCACTCAACTAGTTCCAATTGCCCGCATTTGATCCATATCCCTCTAACCCTTCCCTTCCATGTACCTATCCAAATGTTTTTTAAATGGATATGATATGAGCGAGTCTATACTTCTATGCTTTTTTGTGGTGTGGAACCCTTGTGGATTGGCACCTGGAGCAGTGACCTTTGGTTGACTGGAGTTTTGAACCTTTAAGGAATAAAATATATCGAAGCTGATACAGCAGACCTTATGTCAGAAGAGGGTTTACCCTATTGTCAGATTTAACAGGACACTAAGTTAATCAGAGAGGAAGAGACTTCAGAAGATTGCTAGCTTTGTTCTGCTAGGGGAGATTGAGGTTCAAAGAACCCATGTGGAACACTGTTACTGAAATACATTCTGTGTTCCAGATGCTGGCAGCTGAGACAAAGGAAGGCCAGTGAGCAGAAGCAGCTAAAAATAGTGTTGGTAACTAGATGTTGGGGTGCAACCTTGTGAATGCAGTGAGACACAGTGTCAAGACAGGAGACTGAGCAGCTGGGTGGTGAGCAGTGCATGAGTTATCCTGATTTTGAGAGTTGTTGCCTAACAACTACTTGCAGAGAAAAAGGAGAACGGGATAGTCTCCAGGCCAACTATGAGCTGTTGTTGAAGATATCAGAGGCTCGATCTTCAAAAGCAGGGAGCTGAAATCTCTTTTATGAAAGACAAAGATTTAAAGTTATTTTGTGATTTACAGAGATCAGTGATCTCTCTTTGGGTACTGAGACATTTGTGGTAGCCATCTTGATTTTGCTGGTAGTGTTTCAATCATAGTCTGGTATTAATTCATTTTTGCCTCATGTCAATTCTTTCGTTAAAGTATAAGATGGACAGAAATGGCTGTTCACTGTGCATTGTTGACTCTTGAAAAGCAACAATTCTTCTGTTTGTTTAACATGGTAAAACCTTGCGATTTTAATCACTTAGTAAGTAACCAGAATTTCTAATTGCATATACTTTAAAACATAATTATTTATTCCTAAATTGAATCTTAGAATATGCGGGTTATATCCACGACCTGAAGGGAAAAAATAAGGTCTCTGGTCTGGAATTGTAATAATAGGCAGAAGATTCTTGAATGAACTAAAATTTCTATCCGGTAGACCAAGGGGTTCAATGGTTAAACCTGATAGTGTTGATGACATGGGTGAGGATTTCAAGTGAAACTGAGATGGAATAGGGAGTGAGGAGGGTGATGATATCGAGGTAAATGATTGCAGGCGGTCTTGATGGAGAAGCTACAAAATAAGAAAATCTACTTAGCCAAGTGGATGCCGAGGTAACTAACAATCCAGTTCAACCTGTCAGCAGAATGAAATTGCTGCTGAGGGTAAGCAGTTGTTGTGGTTAATGCCGAAGACTGGCTCTAATCATCTCAATAATTAGCTGCAGGAAATGGCAACTTACCCAACACTGGATGTCAGGGAAGCAATTACATGGTAGAGTGGTAAGGAGAGATGATGGAAAAGGGGATCTTTGTGCTATCAGTGTACATAAGGAAGCTGTCTACTTGATGTTGGAAGATGTCAATAACAGACAGCACAGAGACAATATTTAAATACTGCGGCTATAAGAGCAGGCCAGAGGCTAAGAACCCTGCAGCAAGTAACTTGCTTCTTGACACCTCACAGTTACTACCTACAAGGCACAAGTCAGGAGCACGATGGAATATTCTCCAGTTATCTGGGCTGATGCAACTCCAACAACACTGAAGAGGCTCAACACCATCCACAATAAAACAGCCTACTTGATCTGCATCCAATCCAGCAGCCTACACATTTACTCCCTCCACCACATGCAATCGTAGCCGTGTATACAAGCCACAAGATGCACTGCAGCAACTCACTGAGGCTTCTTCAACAACACCTTCCAAACCCACGACTTCTACCACCAAGAAGGCAGCAGATCGATGGGAGCACCACCAGGCAGGCCCAGTGTGCAAGTTACCCCTCCAAACCATTCACCATCCTGACATGGAAATGCATTGTCATTCCTTTATTGTCACTGAATAAAAACTCCTGGAATCCCCTCTGTAAAAGCATTGGGGGTGCACCTTCACCAGGTGGACTGCAGCAGTTCAAGAAGGCAGCTCACCACCACCTTCCCAATGGCAATAAGGGTGGGCAATAAATGCTGGCCTTGGCAGTGACATCCACATCCCATGAAAGAATACAAGAAAACAAATGAAGAGATTCAAATATATAACCAGTAAATTTAAAAGGACATATTATGAGGTCAAAGAACAAGCTACAGAACTCAAGAAGGAGAGTTTCAAAGGGGTTTTTGAGACTGTATGAATATTATTTGATTCAGCGAGTAAAGGACCTTTGATAGATGATGTGGTCAAAGTGGTATCAAACCTTGAGGCTGAAACTTCAAAGCTGGAGGTGGAGACATATAACCAGTTGTCACAACAAGCTGAATCGTTGAAAGAAACCAATATATTGGTGAAACGTGGAGAGCTTGATAAACAAGAAATGTAGGAAACTCTCAACAGTTAAACTCTGAACACGACAATTTATTACCCACAACCAATTTTCTTCACAGTGGTTTGTGTAAATGGGAAGTGAAAAATGTCACAGGGAAGTAGTTACATTTTGCCAATAATCTGGTTTCCTATCATCGCGAACACTAACCCACAGCAACAAACACTTTGTTAAATATTAAAAGGAAATAACCACAAAATCTAATTTCAAGTCTGACCTAAAGAGAGGAAGAAACTGCTCAATGTTTATAATAATCATTTATATCTGTTAATAACTTTATCCAAATCTCTGACTGGCCCTACAGCATGTCCACTCCTTCCTGTTGTACTCTGAAATAATGTTCTTCATTGTCCACTCCACCACCAAATTTGTTGTCATTCACAAACTTACTAACCATACCTCCAATGCTCACATCCAAATCATTTATATAAATGATAAAAAGCAATGGACTCAGCGCCGGTCCTTGCGGCAATCGTCACAGGCCTCCAGTCCGAAAAACAACCCTCTAGCACACACTCTGTCTCCTACCTTCAAGCCATTTTTGTTTTAATTGGCTAGCTCACCCTGGATTCCATATGATCTAACCTCGCAAACCAGTCTACCACACGAAACTTTGTCAAACACCTTGCTGAAGTCCATATAGACAACGTGTGCTGCCCGGCTTTCATCAGACAGCCATAGCTAGTTATTATTTTAGATCTCATTTTCACAGGGAAATCTACTGTCGCATAGTTTGTGGAACCTCACGAGATAACTACACAATGAAATGGGATTTGTTTTCTTTCTGACCCTGGTTTTGACATGGGGTAAGCTGATGAACAGCAATAGGTCACCCAATACCTGAAGATTTTAATGAATGTTTATTACAGTTCTTGGTATTTACACATGTAAACTACA